GCAACTCACTAAAGAGATTTCATGAGTTGAATTGAACAAAGGACATAGAAACATACTCATTTTCTTGGTCTCCTAGGCCCAAAGAGAATGCAAAGTTGCCAATAATTCCTGTTCATTGTGGTGACCATCCCTCTAATTCCTTTAAGAAATACATCTGGGCCCATAGCAGGGAACTTTTATACCTTTGTGTCAAATCCAAAGTGCCTGAGAGACAGGTTGGGAGACAGCCAATCTTGTGGCTTCATACATCCAGGTGCAAGTCATAAATTAATTCCCTAAGTTAAGCTCATTCAGTCTCAGATCTTCTTGCACTGGGCACTTTCACACTTATCCCTTTCAGCAGTGTGGGAGCTTGTAACAATCATCTCTAGTTCCTTATTAAGGCAAGGATGAATCACATGTCCTCAGGATACGCCCATACAAAGCTATCAGGATGAGGCAGGGGCCTGCCTGCTATTCTTCCCCTACAATGTCTGTCTTATCCAATGGCGGTCAGGTTAACTTATACTGAATCCCAGGAGTTCAAATACAAATGGGTGTCTCAGCAAAGATGAGATTCTAATAGTACAATCAAGGCAGATGGGAATGTAATGATTCAGGCAGTAACCACAGGCCTTGCTGAGGCCCAGTGATGAGAAGAAGATGCTAATGAAGATCTTGCAAAAGAGTGCTGCAAACAGAAGGCTCCTTAAGTACAAAGTTCTGAGGAGAGACCCAGCCTGGCAATACAAGGCTACCATGTCTGAAACTGAGTGAGGGTGACAAGGATGGAGAGGTGAGGGGGTGGCCAGTCAGAATGCAGGGAACTGAAGAGACCACAGTAAGTTGCTTATGGTGTTAATTGTACCAAGAAGTCATTGGGATATTTTAGATAATAGAATGATTTCAACTGATTTATTATTTGAAAATTTACTTGGTTGCAATGAGAATAGATGAACTGATATGTGGTAGGTGGGTCTGAGACAGGGAGACTAAGTAGGAGGACTTAGTCTTAGGAAGATGTGATTTTTGTCTTGGAGTAGGGAGATAAAAACGGGGAAAAATGGGCTTGGGTCATGTATTATAGGTAGAAACCATACTAACAGACCATGGACAATGCTAAAGATGGGGATTGAGGAAGACTACCTAATTCATGCCATTAATATTTTTGGAGCTTCTACTTAATCCAAGCACAAAGGTAGGTACTGGAGATATTTTAATGAAAAAAAAATCAGACATGATTTTGCTTTCATAGGACTTAAAATCGATTGAAAAATATCAACACAAGTAAATTATTAACTGAAAGCTCAGGAAAGGGCAATAAATAGAGCTTTATGGTATTGTTAGTTCAAATAATGGATCTAATTTAGCTAGGTTCTGTGTTGTGGTGGGATGAGGTGTGTGTGGGTTGGTGGGTGAAGGTGGTATGTGTACAGTAGGTGATTGGCCAGGTCAGGCAAGGAGAAAATCCAAAAGGGAAGAAGGTTGTCACAAGGTGAAATATGACAGGGTGTGCAGCATTGGGAGTATGGAGGCTTGGTGGTGGCACAGTTGAGGAACTGCCTGCAGGGCAAAGTGGGGGAAGGGTGCAAAGAAACCATGGCATTGAGCAGGTTATACACAGTCTTGTAGGCTGTGTTAGAGAGATTGGCTTTTATCGTAACAAATCTGGAATCCTTCACAAGGAAACTAACTAAATGCTAGGGTTTCTTCCCATTCGAGGCTCTCTGTACTTTTGTGATTTAATTTGAAATAAGAAACTGGCAGAGCTACAAATTGAACCTCAAAAATAGTGAAATTGCTGGCTTTTGGTAAGCATAATTGGAGTACCTTTCAAAGAATCAGCGTGCATGGTCTTCTTCTCAGGTACAGTGAAATATTTCAGGGGAGCATAGACATTCCAGTTCTGGTGTTATGACACCATTAATATTATCATTCTCAAACGTGGAATGGCTTTAGGCACTGTCCCATAGTTTCCTCTCTGAATCTCTGAGTTTTATGAACTTATGCAGCATGGAAATATGTTCAGTGAGTGCCTATGTAAGTGAACTAAAATAATTGATATGACATTTGTGAATGTCAAGTTATAAAATCTATGTCAGATGATATTAAGAAGATTATTAGATAATTCAGATGAACGAAATAACTAGACTGTTTCTGGATATTTCTGCTAACCTCTCAATTCTCTAAGATGAAGTAATGAAGAACGTGAACAATTTAGAATTGCTGTTCTCAATTAGGTTCAAATGTGCCTCCAAAAGGTTAATTGGCAATGTCTTGGGACATTTTTAATTTTTACAACTGTGACTCTAGTGCTACTGGTATCTAATGGGTAGAGGTCAGGGATGCCTATGTCAGACAGGGTATCCAGAACAGCTTCCTAAAACAAAGAACTATCTGCTTCAAAACATCAGTAGTGCTAGGGTTAGGAAACACCTTTGCAACTTTTAATAGGGACAAATAACTTTTTCTTTTTGAAGGGAAATAACTCTCATATGAATATGACTGTTCTTGTTTTTAAGGAAGGAGATGAAGGAAATGATCTCAGATGAGCTAAGATTGCTTCAAACTTATTTGCATTTTTTTAAAAAAATTATATATCTGTAGTATTATGAGACCATAATAAGCTGCAGCATCTCCTCTTCTTGAGGTGGCATTTTTCCTACTGAATATCCAGTGACCTCTTCTTCATCCTTTAGATGGTACTCAAGAATCCTTTCCAGATGAACTATGGGGAAAAGTCAGGTTTCCTCAAGACTTTTCTCACTTAACCCTGGGTTTTAGTATAATGTAGCATTGTGCATACTGGATAATTTTGAGGTTTTGAATAGTCTTGGTTTAGGAACCAAGTGATAAATAAGATGAATTGTAAGATAAATAAAGCTAAAGTTATATTACAAAATAATAATATTTTATTATATTTCCTTCTGACTACTAATAAAATGTGAGTTAGAGGATGTAGTTTGGGTCCCAAACCAGATCATTTAATGGGGCTGAAGTAGCTATCATGTTACAGAAGTAGACACACTCGCTGCAACTGGAAGAACTTTCCCCTGGAGAAGCAGCAAAGGATGCCCTCCTTCAGGGAGAAGCTCCCTCCACAGCGAAGAAATAAGAAGCAGAGATGAGCATACATTGTGGATTACTTACAAATTGATCAGATAAGCCATGTCATCATGTCATCTCCTTTAGTGCAAGAGTGAGGGAAGGGAAAGAGAGGTCTGGGTTTTATTGAGTTCCATTCATATGGAAGGAAACATCAAGAGTGGGAAAGATGCCGTCCTTCCCCTGCCCAACTTCTGCAAATTGTGACTCTCTGCTTGTCACTTTTAGCTGTTACCTGTGCTATCCAGTTCAATAGCTACTAGAAATGTGTGGCTATTTTAAATAAAATTAAACACACTTGAAAATAAGGCTCAGCAACCCAAGTAGCAAGTGGCTACCATATTGGACAATGCAACTGTAGAATTTCTACCATCAAAAAAAGATCTACTAGGTGTTGCTATTAGGAATTTTGTCTTAACTCATCTTTGTATAATCAATGCCTATAAGAAGGACATTAAAAAATGTTTGAATGGATATAAAATGATTTTGGATATATTGTGATTTTGTTTTTCAAATCTCCATGTTGTAAAGATCTTCCAATTCTAATGAAGCAAGATAGAAATCAAACATAGATAACCTTGCTAAATAGAATAAATTAGGTAAATAATGTGCATCCTATAATCCTAATTTTGTTTAGAAATAATTATTTATATGTATATGTGTATATATGCATACATGTTTATAATGTAGGAAAATAGTCTTAAAAGGTACATAACACATTATATGTAGCATATAATGAGTGAGATTGACAAGGAAAATAAGGAAAAACTTTGTTAACTAAAAATCTTGTTACTAGGCAAATGAACTAATTTGAGTGAAAAATAATAAGTGACAGATTAAGTAATATGTTAAATTTATAAATACATAAGGAAAATATGGCTATTTTCAATATCAAATATTATTGAAAGGTCATTTTAAGATAGGAGAGAATAAAGTGCTAAGAAAAAAATGGGATTGAAATATAAAGACAAATAGTAGTGATTAGTCTAATGGATGTTTTGTGTAAACCATGAAATCTGTTTCCTAAGTGGTATGTAAGGTAATATTTTCTTTCCCAAGATATAGCTCTCCTGCTAAGCTGCAGAGAAGGATGGGGCCAGATGGTACCATTACATTTTTCTGTTTTTCCTTCTGACCCAGCAACACACTTTCTTCCACCTCTCCTTATAGAAATTACTTTTGTTTATTGCAGGAGTAATCTTCACCCTGGGAATGGACTTAGTGGTGATATCTGAGTCAGACCCACTGGCTGTGATAATCCTCTTACAGTCTTAGCTTGCTCTTCATTTGATAGTTTATGCTGGACAGATGCTGGACCAGAATTTAGCCCATAAAATTAAGACATTCTGTTTAACAGGGCTAAACCTAAATTGCTCAAGCAAAGACATTAAGTCATGAAGTGGTGCCTTAAAAAGTATCTTGGGTCATTTAATTCACAGTAAAAGTAAACCTAGATTCAAATGAAGATTATTTTTTATATGCCACAGTAATTTTTCAGAGGGAAAAAAATAAGCTATCATTATGAGAATGGTAAAACAAAATGAGAATGACAAATAAAATTATACAGAAAGATCTGTTTAATTAGTAGCTCTGCTATTTCATTTCATGTTAGTTGATAGAAGAAAAAAGTATTTTCATCAAACAACTGAAATGAGTGAATTTAAAAAGATAAATATAATTACCAAGAAAAATGACATTCACAAAACATTTTTAAATGAGCATTGTAGATGTGATATCTTTGTAATGATTACATTTATTGACTATTATTCATTTTCAGATCACAATAGATTCTAAGCTTGGGAGAAGAAATTCCTTCAGGGCGACTGCATCCCTGAGGACTGATATTTGAAGAAGTTGAACTGTTTTGTAGATCACTCCTTTCTTAATATTTTTCTCTCACTATTTCTATTTTTCAGACTCACTATGAAAATGGGGAATATATTATCAGGCAAGGAGCAAGAGGGGACACCTTCTTTATCATCAGCAAAGGAAAGGTAAGCTTTGGTGGCACCAGAAGTGATGGAGGAAGGCAGCCTGGGGTGTTCAACAGCCACTGCAGGAACACAGGTGTTGATCTTGGGTTGTCCATATCTTCTGACTCTGACAGGGAAATATTTGAAAATGGATCATCTAATGAATGATTTAGGGTGAAGAAGAGTGTAACTTGGAAGACCAGTAAGTAGCCTGAGTGCTAATAATCATAATAGTTCTTATAGAGGACACTGGTAAGCCTGTGTTAATAGAAAGGTCTCCATAAAAACACCACCAAACTTCTTTCAACTTAAAAGAAAATAAAAAATAAAAATAGATCTCCCAAATTAAAACCATACAACAATAACAATAACAACAAAAATAACTAAGGGCACCTAAAAGATCCATCCAGTCTTCAGGAGCAGTAACATTGATATAATGAAGCATCTGACCTTTAAAATCAAACAGTGTAAGTTTGAATTTGCCTTTAAACTTACTCAATTTAGTCACACGAGGCAAATTGCTCAACATTCTGAGGTCAATAAAAACATAAATGTTTCCATGTTGTATTGTAGCTTCATGAAGAATATTGGGTAAAGACTAAGAAACTATGAAAAGTGGCAAAGTATAGGACAAGTAATAATAGGGTAGACAATGAGTGTGAATGAAAACTAATACTTTACTCTTTATATTGTTTTGGTTTTTCAACTATATATTTCAATGTATATTATAATTTATATTTGAAAACAAAGAAATTGAATTAATCCTGAAATGGAAATTTATCTTAATACTCTACTATCATATTGCTAAAAAATATCTTAAATTTCTTTCAACAGTAAAACCATAATCATTTTTTAACATTGTCTTTATGCTATAGTCCAGGATTCGAACTTATTTTTCTTTTTCATATATTCTTCTTTTTTTTTTTAAAGAGAGAATGAGAGACAGAGAGAGAGAGAGAGAGAGAGAGAGAATTTTTTAATATTTATTTTTTAGTTTTCGGCGGGCACAACATCTTTGTTTGTATGTGGTGCTGAGGATCGAACCCGGGCCGCACGCATGCCAGGCAAGCGCGCTACCGCTTGAGCCACATCCCCAGCCCCATATATTATTCTTAAAAAGTATTTCTGTCTCTATGCATTAAGTATAGAAAGAGATGGGGAGATAAATGCATGTAGAAAGGAATTATATAACATTTTTATAATTGTCACTTTAAAAATTAAGTAAATGTAATTTTTCTAATTTAAAAAGATGACTGACTCTGGTAACTTATAGCTTATCTTTTTAATTTAATTTTATTTCAGGGTACCAGGGATTGAACCGAGGGGTACTTAATAACTGGGCCACATCCCTAGCCATTTTTATTTTGAGACAGGGTTTCACTTTTTAAATGACTTAGGGCTTCGCTAAGTTACTGAGGCTGGCCTTGAATCTGCAAACATCCTGCCTCAGCCTCCCAAGCAGCTGGAATTACAGGCGTGTACCACTGTGCCCGGCTATAGCTTGTATAGAAAGATTTACAGAGCCACAGTAAATTAGATGTGTGAAATATTCTAAGTATTTTTGAATTACATTTTAGAGAATCCTCTTTGAACTAATTTTGAATCAACGAAATGAATATATTAGTGTTTACACAAATGACACATCCCAATAAAATGAAGAAAACAATATTTATACTTTAATTATATCTGTTTGTTTGACTTCAATTACTTTAATTATATCTGGTTGATATCTTTGTTGTCATGGAGTAATCTGTATGACAGGATTTTGCGACCATCCAATTATTGCAAATTTCCAGCATTGCCTGAGAAAGTAGTAGTCTTTTGTAACCAGTTTCAGCTGAAAACAGGTGATGCTGTTTTATGAGTTTTGTAATGTGCATAGTAGAAACAGCTTGGAAGTTAGACTACAGAAATCAATTCCTTTGACAATATTTCAGTGCATTGTGCAGATCCTGGGAGAGAAAGAGTGATATATTAGACTCTTGACATGGTCATGATTTTTTTCAAACCAGGCATGGATTTTTTCTTGGTTTTTCAAGTTGCATAGTTAGTTCCTGTGAGTCCTAATTTTATCAGTTGATATGAAAATTATATTAATGCATTAGAATCACTATAAGATATAGAAGGTGAGCATTCTTAAGTCCCTGTTGTAAAAATTAGGAAAAAGAAATGAACAATGATAAAATAGGTTAAGATTAGCAGATAAATAAGTTGTAGAATTTTCTAAAATAGTGTGTTTTGTTTCAGGTATATTGGTATACATCTGTTTTCCCATGCATTTGTAAAATTTATAAAGTGTAACCCTGGTGAAGATATTTTTCTTGTTACCATTGAACTGACTTTTTAGAAAACGTTGTGAGATAAAAGAAGACACAACAGTGGGCTATGGAGTTACAGATGGATTTTTTTCTTGTTTAGTTTCATTTATTTAACTGTGAAACTTTTTAATTTAAATTTAAAACATTTTTTCATTTTCCCATTAAGTACATCGAGACTGAGAGAGACATTATAGACTTTGAAATACTTGTTTTCCCCCCATTAAATCCACACAAAGTGATTTTTCTAAAACTAGAAACAGAGTGCTTACAGCATCTGCTGCTTGCCTCAGGTAGAAGCTGAGTTAGTTCTCTGTACTTTAGTCAGTGCATTCCAGTAGCCCAGAAAAATGACTTTTACCATTAACAGTAGGAGGAAGCATTGAAGAATTCTGTGTTTATCCCTGCAGTGGTCAAACCTCTAAAAACTATTTCTCCATTCACAAGTTAAACCAAAATTAAACAGGATTGGATAAAACACTTTCACAATTCCAAGAATAATTGAAAGGCATTTTCATTTTTCTGGTTCTATTCAACATGTCTTATATGCAACCAGTAGAAAAAACAGATTAAAAAATTCTTATCTATTAAATGACATTTAGATGTACATGGTTTTGCTTCTTAGAATTAACAAGCATTTAAGCATGGTGATTAAACATATTAACATAACGCTCAGTATTTCTGAATATGGAAAGTGTTCTCTTATGTAAATTTTATTTGTATAGGCATATACATGTTTGTGTATACACGAGTGAAGTAGTAGCAACATTTTCTTTTATATTAAGAATAAGATAATGATGCATGCTATCACCATTTCTATTCAGTGTGATATTAGATATCCCAACTATTATGTTAAATTAAGAAAAGGATACAATATTTAGAAATAAAAAAGTTATTAAAGATGATATGATTTTAGCTTGTTTTTTATGTAGATAAATATATTATTAAAATTAGTTATAATTTAGCTAGATCAGTACTGTTCAGTATACTATACTTTTCTTTATTAAAATGTTCCATGTATATACAGGCTAATTCAGTGGCCATTTTGTCTCATTTGATATCTAAATTAAAAGTAGCTAAATCAAATATTCAATTTTTTAGCACCAGTAGCCACATTACAATAGCTGTATAGCTACATGTAGCTAGTGGTAATCATACTGGACAGTGCAGATCTTGATAGTTTACTATCATTTAAATATTGAAAAAAATGAATCACTTAATAAAACTCACAATATGAATTGTCTAAAGAACAATTGAATTATCATATCAACCAATTCAGTAAAGCCATTTGCTAATGCAACTTCTATTCAGAATAAAAATTCTCAGATGGCTTCTACAATGTACCTACAGTTAACATAATTAATGATGAAACAAAAAGCAATAAATGAATGAGAACAGTCAGTGAATAAGGGAGTCTTTTCAACAAGTAGTGTTTGAACAATTAGTAAGCCATAGGCAAGAAAGAAAAGTATAACTGGACCTAAACTTCATACCCTGTGTAAAAATTAAATAGAAAATGATAAAAGACTTAAAAGCAAAATGTTAATCTACAAACTGTTTTGAAGAAAATCTTTATGATTTAGGGTTTGGTAAAAACAAAACAAAAAACCTCCTAGACATCATACCAAAAGCACAAACTATAAAGAATAAAAGGTAAATTGGGCTCTATCATACTTATGAAATTTTATTCTATGAAAGATACTGTTAAGAGACTAAAAAGATAATCAACTAACAGGGAAAGATATTTGCAAATTATATATGTGCAAAGGGCTTGTATTGAGCCTATATAATCAATACCCCCAAACAAAACTACCCAATTTAAAAAAAATGGACAAAGGACTTGAAAAGATACATCAGCAAAGGAGATATAAAAATGGAAGATGTGTCATGAAGAGATTCTCAATATCATGATCATTGCAAAGCTGCACATGGAAAACCTGGGATACTTAACAGAATGTTTAAAATGAAAAAAACAATGTATTATACAGAGTGCTAATGAGAATGCAGAGTGATTGGAAATGGTAAAGCCATTCTGAAGAGCAATTTGAAATTTTCTCATAAAGTTAAATAAAGCAATCGTACTTTGTTGTATTCTAGAAGTCTGAGATATAGTTTACATAAAAAACTGTTACAATGTTTATAGTTTCTGTGTTCATAATTGTGAAACACGCTAAATATGCTTCAACAAGTGAATGGATAAAGCAACTGTGATATTCATTCAATGGAATACTACTGGGCAGTAAAAAGAATAAACTATTGAACTACATAATGACTTGGGTGAATCTCAAAAGTATTATGTTGAATAAGAAAAAGCAATCTCAAAAAATTAAGGATTATGTGCTTCCATTTAACTGGCATTCTTGAAAAGAGTAAACTAGCCTGAGGCCAATAGACTTTTGGTTGCTAAAGTCAAGATTTGGGGAGGATGTGAGTATAAACACATACACGAGGGAATTTCTTAAGGTGATAAATTGTTCTGTGTCTAATTGGGATGCAGGTTATACAAATTTATATGTGCATTTAAATTCATAGAGCTGTAAACCAAAAGCAAAATTCAATTTTACTTCATGATAATTTAATAATCTACATGCACTTCTAAATATTGATAATATTTAGTTAGAAATGTTATTTAATAATCATTTATTAAATCAAATATCCAGGAATAAAACTAATAAAAATGCTATGTCCTTTTACGAGGAAATTTTATTTGAGATATCATCATTAAAAGCAGAAGATCAACATAGGAAAATATTTGAAAGGAAAAGGAACCTATAAGGAGATAATTTAGTAGATATTTTGACTTAAGATTAAGGTAATGAAGAAAAAATGACTGTAATTTGCCTCAGGATTAGACAAATAAACTGAACCCAGATATAGATCCATGATCATGTGTAAACTTGATTAAGACAACACAGGCAATGGAAATTAAAAAATGATTATACATAGGGACATAAAAAATTTGGTTACCTACCTCACACCATATAAAAAAGTCAATTAAAACTTAAGTATAAAAGAAAACAAATCAGAAAATAATTTTAAAAACAATTCAAATACTTCTACCTTCTTGGAGTAGGGAAGGATTTCTTAAGATTTTTAAAAAATAGAAACAAGGATAACATAGTTCAATGTGATTACCCTAAAATCAATAACTTCTCCAACAAGACATGAAGGTAGTAAAATATAAACCAAGTCTAAACCATCAACAGTAATAAAACATAAATACAATAGAACAATAAAATGAATAATACACAAAAAAGTAAGCAAAAGGATGATCAGACACATCATCAGAAAGTAAACACAAAGGATCAAAAATAATATAAATTGCTCCACCTCCATTATAATTCAAGAAAATACTATTTACTACTTGTCTTCCTAGAAAATCAATCAAAGTCCTATAGTACCAAGTGCTGATGAATGTATAGCATAAGATGAACTTTCATTCATTGATGGTATGAATGTGCGTACGTATTATGAGTGAGTCAGTACCTAGTAAACTGAAGATGCACACACGTAATAAACTTGCTCTTTATTCATAAATATTTACCCTACTACCCATGGACACCAGAAAACATGTAAAAGAATGTTCATAGAAACAGTGTTAATATCACCATAAAAATATATATATAAAACTAAAATGGGAAGCAAACCACATCATTCTAATAGAAGAATTAGCAAATTGTACGTACAATTTGCTAATTCTTCTAT